GATAATCCAGCCACGATCTTTCAGAACCTGCGCATTCATTTCATCAATAGCAAGAACAAGAATCTGATGATCATCCTTCCTCTTCCCACCAATGACGCGCCAGTCCTTTGTCGTGACACCAGGATTTTGTCGCTCAATCTGAACAAACACTTTAGAGGCTTCGACCTTGGCCAAGCGCCTGTCAGTGCGTAGGAGCACTTTGGTCGTGCGCAACAGATCCTTATAGTCTGCTACAATGACCTCCATACTCCCCTCACTTCCCAGCGCCAGCTTCGGTGCCACCCTCTTTAGCCAGTCAGTTGTTTCAGAATTACCACAAGTTACGACAAGAGCACCCTTCTCATGGTAAATTTTTTCAAACTGATGAGGAATGTTGGCGCCGTCATCACCAAACACCAACTCCATCAGTTTGTCCTGCAACAAATCACATTCCTCAACAGAGAATCTCGCATCGGGATAGGCCGCTGGAGCTACTGCCAACTTGTGACCCACAAGCTGATCTCTGTAGCTGGCCTTTCCTGCAACGAGTCCATCTGCTGATTGATTAGAGTTTTTATTTCTCTTAGAAGGAGGATTTTGAGACGACCCAGGGTTACTATCGGATCCGGTTCTACGCATCGGTGATACGCCTGAACCTTCCCCAGGAGAACTCAGGGACTCTCGCTTCCTCTTTCTCCACTGTCTGTTAGGGATCCACGTGCCCTCAGCCTTTTTCTTTTCTCTAACAGACATATTGTACTCAGTTTTGGTCATAACTGTAAAAGTGATCTCAGAGTCGGACGAAACATCCGCCAGAGATGGAGAGTCGCCAGCACTGCTGGTGTTTAGTGGCTTATTCAGGTCTGCATCTAACCTGTGGCAAAGCTCAAGCACATCAGTAGATGAATTGGGTGGAGTTCTTGCTGTTAAGGAACTTCTCGAGAAGACCTCTGGCGAGTCCAGGATCTCCCCAGGTTCCGTCTCCATAGCGGTGTTCTGCACAGTAACATTATCATTGTTAAAGGAAAGCTGATCGTTGCCCTCCCCAGAATCCATGGGCTTGTCCTCCAAAAAGGAGGAGTGGGATTCCCCGCTTGAGCAGGTACCCACCTGGGGTAATGATTCCGTTCGTTTACTTTCAGCCATTACTAAAACAAGAAAAGCAAAAAAGTTAGCAGTTTAGCAGCCGAACCGTGACCCACTCACTACGCCTGCTAATATCCAAGACTGGACCCTTTCGGGGTAGGACCCCTCATCGTCTCCAGCTCAGTCCTGTCACAGCTGCACACATACCTGTAACAGTTAAGGACCTTAAGGATCTCTTGTAGCTCAGGGTCAGAGTCTTGATGATGTGCCAAAGTTTTGGCATCTACAATGCTGGGAGCCGTAGTTGACAATGAATCTACACGAGAAAATGCGTCAGCTACTAGGTTGGCCGATCCAGAAACATGTCTTATGTCTGTAGTGAATTGTGAAATGAATGTTAGTTGGTTTTGCTGAACAGGAGGTAGTTTTTCACGTTTTTGACTGAAGGCAAATGTTATTGGCTTGTGGTCTGTGAAAACTATGCAATGATTTGCCTCAAGGTAGTGACGAAAGTGACGAATGGCGGCATATACAGCGAAAAGCTCACGGTAATAGGCTGGCCAAAGGGATTGTTTTGGTGTCAGTTTCTGTGAAAAGAAAGAGAGAGGTTCCCATGTTTTATTGTCAACCATCTGCTGGAGAGCAGCTCCTACATGGGTACTCGAGGCATCACAGAACAATGCGAGAGGGGCCTTGTGGTCAGGGTGAACAAGCAAGGTAGCATTGGAGAGATGTTCTTTGCAGGATAAGAATGCAGCATCCAATTCAGGAGTCCAATTTACAGGTTGGTTTCCACGTAGAGATGAGAGGGCATCATGGAGAGCTGCTTGTTGCTTGGCTGCTGAAGGAATGAATCTGCGGTAGAAATTCAACATGCCGAGAAAACGACGCAAACCTTTTGCAGTAGAGGGACGGGTGAATTGTTGCAGAGCCTCAACACGTTCAGGAAGTGGTCGAGTACCAGCAGATGATACCTCATATCCTAGGAAGGTAACCTTTGGAGCTTTCAAAACAGTCTTATTTACGTTAACGAGTATGCCATAATCAGAAAACCGATTGAATAGAGTTCGTAGATGGGCTTCATGTTCAGTCTCATCCTTAGAGAAAACTAAGACGTCATCTATATAAGGAAAGCAGAAGTCTAAACCAAAAACTACTTCATCGATGAAACGCTGAAAAGTTTGTCCTGCGTTGCGGAGGCCAAAGGACATGAAGGGGAATTCAAACAATCCAAAGGGGGTTGTAATGGCTGTCTTCGGGATGTCTTCAGGGTTGACAGGGATTTGTGTGTAGGCCTTCACTAGGTCGATCACAGAGAAATACTTGCAACCTCTGAGAGAATGGGTGAAATCGTGGATATGTCTAACAGGATATCTGTCAGGAATAGTCCTAGCGTTGAGAACACGGTAGTCTCCACAGGGGCGCCATCCATCAGGTTTCTTAGGGACCATGTGAAGGGGTGATGACCAAGGTCCATCAGATCGACGTGCAGTACCATCGGTGAGCATGGCATCAAACTCGGCTTTGGCTATAACAAGCCGATCAGGAGCGAGTCGACGTGGACGAGATGAAACTGGGGGGCCAGGGGTCGTTTTGATGAAATGCAAGGTTGAATGGAGCACTTTTCTTGGTGTACCAGAGGGTCGGGTAATCATGGGAAATTCTGCCAGTATTGATGAAGTTGGAGAATTGGGTGTGATAGTTTTTATGCTGAAATGAGGGATTGAGGTACATTGACAAAGAACAGAAAGGTTTGTTACACTGTCAATCAACCGTTGATTACGACAGTCAGGAAGCAATCCAAAGTGTGCTAAAAAGTCAGAGCCTATAATCGCTGTATTAACATCAGCAATGACAAAATTCCATGTAAAAGCTCGTCTCAGCCCTAAGTTTAATGTTAATGTCATCATACCGTAGGTGTGAATGGCAGAGTTGTTTGCTGCACGAAGTTCATATTCTATATGCTTTTGGTTCTTACAAACGAATGATTTAGGGAGGCAGCATATGTCGGATCCAGTGTCAATCAAAAATTTTGTATTAGTTGTACGGTCGACGATTTGTAGGCGGCGCCCTCCAGCTTGGCAGTCAGCTGACGCCATCACTGGCTGCCTTTGGAGTTTGTCGGAGAAGTGAAATTGCATGGTGGAATGCACTTCTCAGCTTGATAGCCAAAACGCTTGTGGTACCAGCATAGATTGGTTTGCTCTGTAGTGTCAGAGGAGCTACCTGCGTGATAACGACTACTAGACAAACTCCTCTGACGTGACCTAGGTCGCCTGTCACGTAGGGAATCAACATCTTTACGCATATTTTTCATTTGCAACTCCAAAGCAGATAATTTTGATAAAACTTCAGTTAATTTTGGGTCATCAGAAAATGAAGATTTAGGATTTGGTGAATTAACGGCATTCAAAGATGTAGGCATACTAGTGAGAGAATGGCAAAAAGATGCATTAGGTTGGACTGCTAGAATTTTGTCGGCAGTAATTGCAAGTGTGTCAGTTTGGGCACTTGTTTGGACTTGCAAAATACTTTGTACATGAGCAGGAAGTCTCTGCATCCAAATAGTTTTCAGTAAACTATCTTGGATTGTGGTCGAACCTACTAGTGATCGAAGGTGGCGTAGGAACTGAGAAGGAGTTTTGTCACCTAGTTCCTCCTCCATCAATAGCTGACGAATGCGTTGCTCCTCAGATAGAGACAACCGTCTGATTATTTCAGACTTAAGAGTAGAGTAAGGAGTTTCAACAGGTGGATCTATTATAAGATCCTCCACTTCATTAGCATAGCGCTCATCAAGATGTGAAATTACATAAGAGTATTTAGTTGTTTCACTCGTGATGTGAGCCAGTGTAAACTGAGCCTCAACTTGGGCAAACCAGAGCCTTGGTTTCTCTTTCCAGAATGGTGGAAGTTTTATGCTTACCCGGTGGATGTGATGATCTTCATGTCGTTCGTCGGAATGGGCTGTATGATCTGGCTGATGCTGTGGTAGAACTGGTGGAAGATCAGGTAGGTTGGCTTCTTGAGGATGTACAGAAATGTGATTTTGTTCTTGTCTTCCATTCAAATCTTGAAGTTGTCTTTGTAGGTTGGCATTCTCACTCTCTAATTGAGCTAGGCGCTCCAAAAGTTCTTGGTCCATGGCGTAAAACGATAATTTGGGGAAAGGTGAAAAATAAATGAAGTTTTGGTAGAAGGTTGAAATTTAATGTAGGAAAAACATCAATTTAGTTTGAAATAATTTACTTGTTAGTCGGGGTCACCATTTCTAGCGGATAGACGCACTAAAACAAATCATTCTAGTAAAAGGTCATTTAATTTACAGAGAATAGTTAAGTAGTGTAATCCACTAGATTCAAATCAGAAAAACTGTTGTTAAAACTGTTATTACCTAGGTTGCTAGGATAACAAAAAAATAAACAAATGATTAAAGTAAATACAGAACACATGGTTATTGTGTTAGACAGTTTAGTGGCACCACACATGATTTGGCGCACATCGGGATTCAAACCAAACAACACAAAACAGCGTGGTTTTATTATGCACGTAATCTGGGTACTCTTGGAAATAGGTTGGCTACACTTAAATATAATAATACTATGATAACTTTACTAGAGTTATTGTACTATGATAGCCTGTACTAATAACTACAGTTTGTTGCTTGAATTATTATTGTTCCTTATATCTTAACTCTTATTCCATCCTATACCTAAGTGGGATAATGGAGGGATAAATATATCAAAAAGTTCCCTCGCTACCTGCAGAACCCGCGTGGCAGTTCAACTGTTTTTCAACCCTGTGAAACTGACCCTTATAATCCGCACTAATGATCGTGGCGGTTCAAGTATCTCTGGACGGTCATAAAACTCGTGGCGGTTCAATATTCCCCCTAATTCTCCAAAATATTGTCAGTAACGGTTCAATTATTTCAGCTCGTAATCCATGTTGGAGTGTCAAATCTTGCAGAGAAGATCACACTGGAAACAGCCGCTCAAAAGTCTGGTTACGAGAGATGTGATATTTACGGCCAAACCCCATCTTGCAAGGAATGCTGCTTTGGTTCAGCCCCAGTGTTACAATCTGAACTTGATTTGTTGGATGTAAATGACAGAATAAATGCATCAGCAGAAGTACAAGCAGAAATATCCAAGGATGCTGGAAGGTAGAGTTTGATAAAGTTTGTTATTATATTTGTTATACCCGTGTACACAATTATATTTTGTAACTGTAGGTATGTTAATATCACAAGTGATGTGAGCATCTAGTTTAGACCAACCTAGTTAAGTTTTATGTAGGCCCTATAAGTTTAAACCTAGGTGTCAGGAATGTGCCCCAAATTCTTTTTTAAGTTATTGTTAGTGAGAGTAAGTTTTTGTTGTTCAATAGATTGCAGAAACTTGCTATCCTTGGGTGTTTTACTATCCTAGTGGGTAGATTAGAGTCTTGGATTCGGTGCAAAAATGATAGTTTTGTTCCCCAACATGAACGAAACCTGATATATACGGAACAAATATTTAAGGGGTCGAATGGAAGGATCTGTAATTCTTCCATTTGGATCTGGAATCTGATAGCATATTCAGGTGGGAATGAACCTCGGGTATGAAAAGATTAGTAGATAAAGTTTATTTTACACAACAACGCCAAGATATTTTTGTTTATATTTTAATTTAATCCATTCCAAGCAGTATACTAATCTGAACCCAAATTTCTTTTGTAATTGGAGTGAAAACAAACTTTATTTTACAGAGGCGTTGGAAATACAAAAAAATATTATACTATAGTAACCTGCAACAATCATGGGTTACAAAAAATTATCCAATATTTTCTGTTGGTCAAAATCAGTTTATAAATAATGGTAATCACTTTAACATCTTCCACTATACCGTATTCAAACATTTCTTGCTCAATGACAATTTTAGTTATTTGTTACATTCAACTATCTGATCGTAATAACAGTTTAACATTTGGAATGTTACAGGTATTTATGCGAGTACACATATTACACATCCCTAAGTATTGACAGTTCAAGATCCCTTTTCATCCATGTTCCACCTCTAGATGCACCTTACTCTGCCGAACAGCTTGCTAGAGGTTTGGCCGATATTATCAGGTGTTTGGTGGATCAGCTGCGTAGTAAGGCTAAACATGTGTTGTCAGCATAGAGCAAACAGTGGGCATAATAACAATTGTTTCAGAGGGTGTCATAAAAATGTAGAGAGAAAGTACAAAATGAAATGTGCTGAACCTGATTATTAAATGTACAAACCGGATTACAATGTGCAATACATCCAGATTCAATCAATTTAGGTTTTCACGTGCCAGAAAGATTCCTGATCCTCGCATGTCAGAATTCTGAATTCTGATTCTCACATATAAGGATTGTAAATTCTGATTCTTTGACACCAGGATCAGTCTTAGTTATTATTTAGGCCTATAGGTCGTTTGAATTATGTTTCTAAGATTATTTATTTCAATGCGCCTACCAAACATTGAGTACCGTATCTAAGAAACTAAATAAGTCAGGGTTATTATACAGTAAGTGCCTAGTTTAAAACTATAACCAAAGAGAAGAATACAGGTATGTCTACAAATTATATAATATCTTAGTCAATGTTTGACCAGCTAGTCTTCAATGATAAGATAAGAAAATAGTATTTTCCTAAGTAATCTGTGACCAGGAGTTTTGTTGAAGGCATCTATTATATGTGTAGACATTATGCCTTGTAATTTTCTGCAATCAACCAGAAGGCACAAATAATATTTTAATAATATTAAATTTTTTATAAAAATAAACCAAACATGTAGAAGATTACTTACATGCACTATTAATAGGATAAGACCTTTGAAATAAATTACCAAATAAAATGTTGATATATTGCACAATACATTCGTATTAGACAGAATTTATTTATTATATCATTTATTTTATATTAGTATCAAGTACGGTGATTGTTTTATGAATTGTAGTTTGTAGTTAGTAATAATAATAATAATTCTTTTATTGCAGTGGACAAAGTACATTGCATTACAAACGTCAATAAATAATGTTTGTGAAAAAATCCATGTTAGATCTTACATTTTGTCACAATTCACAATAAGTGTCAAAATTTTATATTATGGTCAAAAATATTTATACGTATTTATTTATTTACTATCATTATTATAATATTATTAATATAAAAAATTTTTTTTAAATGTATTCATTTATATAGGTAATTTTTTATATAGTTTTTATGATTAGTATAATTTAAGCAATGTACTATAGTTCGGCCGCTTAGAAAGCGACCTCCTCCAGCATTGGTTTAACATTAGCGCGCAGGTCGTTTTCTAAGCGGCCGACCTATAATCTTACCTCTTATATGAACATTATAAAACTTATTTAAGTATTGAAGTTTCAATTAATCAATTATAATTAATTGAAACAAGTTTAACTAAATGATTGCATTCATTGTTGCAACTTCATTGTAATCAAAATGTATAACTATATGAATTTAATATAGATAAGTTGTAAATTCAATGTAAGTTTTTACTTTACCAATCCTTGCCACCTAGTCGATTTTTTGCCACAAACCCGTCAAAGATATAATGGCCCATCCAGCTTCAGAACATTATCTCAGCTTAGTCTTCATCAGATGATGGTGTATGGTTTGGTGGTCTGGTGAACCAAAGTTAACGGAAATTACCGCTGCAAAGAGACTACAAAAGATCCAGCGAGTGGTCTTAGCATCACAGGAGCCATGAAAGGCACTCCAACTGCAGCCCTGGAAGTGGTGCTAAACCTGCCACCTCTCGACATCATTGTGAAAGGGGAGGCAAGGATGGCAGCCTACAGAATGGTTTGCAGTGGCAACTGAAGTATAATGCATTCAGTAAGCATACAAATTGTGGACAAGGTACAGATGGACACCTTTAACATGTTAGGTACCAAACAGGATGGTGAAGATCACAGATCTAGAAAAGCGTATAATGTCAACATTGTTGACAGGGCTGCATGGTGGGATACAGGTGAAACTGAATACATGAAAAGGGGGATCACTTGGTATGCGGATGGCTCGAAAAAGCCAACAGAAACTGGGGCGGGAATATATATGGAGTCATACCCAAGGCGCAGTTTTGCGTAAGCCTGGGGAAACTCCCACTGTATTCCTTCCAGGTAGAAGTTGTTGTCCTGTCCGAGTGTGCAGGAACTTGTTTGATATGTGCTCGTTGTGTTTGAAGCGGTGTGACAGGCCACACCATATACATGAAATCGGACATCAAAGCAGAACTAATGGAACTTGGACAGTTTTGACTTTACATCTAAGGCAGTATGAGACTGTCATCAGGCTATGAAAGCCCCTGGAGATAACAAGGTTATCCTTAGTTGGGTTCCAGGACACAAAAGGTATTGCTTGCAATGAGGGAGCTGGCAAGTGGGCAAACAAAGGAGCTGAAAGCCCGCTCATAGGTCCAGAGCCGACGTGTGGTATTGCTTGTTCGCCAGAGGATGGGCATTGAACAACAGGAACTGGGAAAGAACAGAAGGCAACGTACAGTCAAAGAGAATGCTGCAGACACCTACCGGTGCGATCGTGGCATGCCCTCTTGTGCTGAATTGGAAGCTGCGGAAGGTGGTTGGCTTCATCAGCGACCATTGGGTATTCCGCGGACATCTACACAAGATGGGAATTCAAGTTGAATGCCTTATGTAGGAAATGTGGAGAGGAGGAGGAGACAGCCTTTTACGTGATATTTATGTGCCCTGCAAGGTCTGCGTGTGGGATCACTTGGCCTATTGACTTGAGATCAAAGGGAAGAACATGTTACCATAGTCAAAAGGATCTCATGGTTCACCAAGGACATGGGATTTGACGGAGAATGAGGACCTGAGGGTGCACTATAAGCAGTTCCAGCTGCGATGCAATCCCATGGTCACTTGTAAGCCTGGCCCTCTGTTAAAATAAACAATTTCAAAGATCCAGAGTGGCTTGGCGACTAAAATTTATGATGTTAAATAACAAATAATCAACAAATTAAATTGGAATTGTCGGGAGAGTTAGTAGAATATGGATCAATCGACACAGTAATGGATGGGCATGGGGAGCTTGTTGTCAATTCATCCCATTGAATTTCTAAACTCCTAAGAGCCACTCATCAGGAATGCTACCATACAGCCATACTCTCATTAAGTGAATGAACTCCCGTAACTTAAATCCACCCAAGGTGTGTGCAACGAAATCAGACTGACGAAAGAAAAATTACACGAAACTTGATCGAAGCAACAATCATCGTCAGGGGTTATTTCAAAAGATAATTATTAGTCTTAATCCCAAGAATACCGATGATTTCATCCGAATTGCCCTTTTGAATTCAAGCGCCTACAATTTCCTTTAATTGCGACTTGCTTTCGCAACCACCATTAATAAGGCATGCACAAGCACGAATATTAGAAAAAAATCGTGAGCACAAGGTTATCCCTGACTATTGCCGGTTTAAATTTAGAAAATGCATGCTTTTCACGCAGACAGCTGTTTGTCACGACTGGAGTCTAAACCTTCGCTAAATCATCACGATGTTGTCCCCTGGCGCTGCGGAGTGGGGGAAATGATTCTCCCTCCACCTCCCCTCTAGACGGCGTCCAAACAAGCCCGCGTTGTTTTACATGCATATCATATACCTATGCTGCAGTTTTTCAATAAGTTAAAAAATGAATATTTATAAAGTTAAACTGTCATAAACTAACCTAACCAACCAAACATGCTGATTATTTAAAAAATCGAATGAAGGTTTACTAATCAAAAAAATAGTTCTGTTCATAAAATAAAATTATAAATGCCTTGAATTCAATTTTAGAATTTATTAATTATAAAATTAAACTGTCATAACCTAATTAAACCAACCAAACTTGCTGATAATGAAAAATCGAACAAGGTTTACTAATAGAAAAAAATAGTTCTAAAATTATAATAGCTCAAATTGAATTTTATAATGTTTTAATTAACAAATTAAACTGTCATAACCTAACCAAACTAACCAAACTTGCTGATAATGCAAAAATCTAAGACAAAAAGTTAGTGCTACCGAGAGGATTCGAATCTGGTACCTTCAGATCCTCAGCCCGGCACGTTATCCATTAGACCACCGAGGCCGGTGGCTGCAAACCGTATCGTTGCGGTAATGGTGTTCCCTCAGCCAATAGAATGCTTTGCTTCCCCCACTCCGCATTGCCAGGGGACAACATCGTGATGATTTAGCGAAGGTTTAGACTCTAGTGTTTGTCACGTGCTCTGTTATTGGTTGCGGCCACTTTTAACTCCAGGCCACGGCCTGGTAGAATTGGCAACGTTAACGTTGCAGGTAGGGTTGTTATTTAGTGTCAGACGTCCCATAAGATAACATGGTAGACAGGTGACATCAACTCATTAGTTCGCACTTCATTGATTAAAATTAAATATTTATGTGCTTAAATTTATCAAAATATTGAAAATAAGACATACAGAATTGAAAACCATAACTTATAAATAAGTTATTTACAAGGTTGATACATCTACAAGGAAATATTATGTTTTATCCGTGCCATAGGTTATAACTTAGTTATTGTTACTACTCTTGACTATGGAAACACCATAACGCAACGCTTTTAAATATTTAGTGCCATCCTTTTTAATCTATGGCTCTAAGCTACGCAACCTACAATCTTAACATCAGAGCTAACCGCAATATTTTACAGAGAAAATCAGCTAAAAAAGGTAGACAAACTTTGTTTAGACAGCTGTTACCTACCGGTCTATCTGGATCTCGTCAGTCCTCTCCCTTATTATTGTCATTATTGTCAACAATATAATATCAAATATCAATAATTAAGTCAAGGTTTGTTTACTTGTTAGATAGGCTTATTAGGCTATATTATTTACAAAATTACCGTACAGCAATATCCAATAGACCAGTCTAAATTATTGTGGTTATAACTCTTAAAATTTATTTTAATTTAACTGGTGGGACATCATTAACATACAGTAGGCCTACTGTGCTTCATACTCATGAATAGAAATTAAGTAACTTTCAGTCACATTTAAGTCACCCTTAAATTTTTACTTAACTCAGCCTTTTGTGATCTACAAACACGTCAAAACGAGTCCAATGAAAATATCTCCTGAAGGAATATTTTTCTGCCTTAGCTGGATGGTTTTCAAAGTGAAAGCAAGTGAAAACTTACTTGCCAGAGGTAAGTCAAAAAGCCTAAGTTAACCCTCCGAGTGTCCATAGTTTAGGCCTTAATGTCCGCCTATTTTTGGCGCATTTGCAAGGTTTTATTAAAACGGATCTGAGAAACTTAAAACAATGTTAATTCTACGGCTGCACTTTTACTTGACGTCCTACACTCATTCGAACGAAAATATCGATCGATATATCGATTAATCGATTGCTTCATTTGATATATCGTTTGGTTGGTTAGGTAAGGTTAACCTAACCTAACTAACCAAACGATATATCGAATGAAAATATTGAATCGAAAAAAACAATCGAATGAGTGTAGGACGGCAAGTAAAGTGCAGCCAATTCTACTGTTCTATATACCATTTTGTTTGGAAAATCATGGGCTTCAATATTATACATAAAACATAAGGAACATTTGTTTCAAAAAATTTTTTTAGGTAAAAAAAAATATTTTGGAAAATTAAAAAAAAAATAAGTTCGCGCTCAATGAAATTGTATAAATTATAGGCCTATAAATATTTGAAAATAGCCACTTTGTTCTAAATTTTATGAGGATTACAAATATATAATAATATAAGGAAGTAGATTTGCAAATAAATAAGTTATGGGCAAAAAACAGATTTCAGTACATAGCGTTTAGCTAAGAATGCATAGCCTAACCATAGCTAGGAATCTGGCTGATAATTTACATCAATATCACTACCTACTTCTTCAGGATCATCAACCAGCCCTTCAAAATCACTTAAATCTTCTTATAATGCACCACGTATATCGTATATCACTACTTTTGATTTTTAACACTAAAACAATGATAAACGTAATAAAACACATCCAGTCTTTGGTCCGAGGTTAAACCAAGCTGTTTACAAATACGCACGTCAGCTGTCTGCTACAATATTTTCGGAACTAAAATGAATAGCGCTGAGAGACAGACCTCCGGAGAAAGCTCTGAATCTAACAAAAAGAACGATACCTAACTCGATCCAGTTCAATCCGATTCAGTCAGTCATAGAGCCTTCGCCGTAAACGATGTTCGTGTGTCGAAAAATCGACAAGTGACACTATACAAAGTGTGTCGTGAGTCGATTTTTCGACAAGTGACGCTCAGAGGGTTAACTAAGGTATTAACTGCCATAATTACATAGCCTAACTTTACGTTCAATACATTTAGGCTTAGGCCTAAATGGTCTAGGTATCTTAACAAAATTTGCTTTAAGAATTTGATTCACCATGTAACTTAATTAACTAGCATAAATTTACTGGCTAAGAACTGTGCCTAATAAGTGCTTTACCTGGAAAAAATCAAGAACCGCAAACTTCCGCGTACAGTTTCTTTCATCTGTTAGATCGGTTATGCGTTTTTAGGTGCGATTGATTTTTATTTTTTAAGCATTTAAGTAAGTTTGGGCCTACAGTAGGCCTATTGTTTCTTGGCCAGGATCATAGATCGTACGATTGCATCCTGTCATAGTTCTAGGTTGTGGTGAGCACCATAAATATTCACCTGTATAAGTTATTGCTAAGTTTCTCCGGGTACTTTTAGGTGTGTGTAGGCTACCATACTTTTAGGGGAAATTATTGCGACGAAGGTGCCTAAGAGAACTATAGGCCTAGTAATTTATGTATTAGAAACTAGATTTTTACCTGAAAACAATGGTGCAAAAATTTTTCTGCTGTCACAAAAACTGAATTAGGCCTAACTAGGATTTTTTGAATTTTATTAGACCTACTGTTATGCCTCTTGCTGGTCTCTGTCGCCATTACTGTGAACTGGCTGACTAACACAAACATGAACGATTGAAATGATCGTCTAGGGAAGAAGAAGTTAAACCTAAGATGACAAACAGTAAGTTTACTCAAAGAGGTCTCAGAGGCATTTGTAAATTCAACTGAACGTTGATTATGAACTACTGTATCTTACTTCACTTCTTATTTCGACATGTGAGGTTGGTAGATTGGGTGTTATGCAGATTCGTGACTGTATTAAGTGTTTTGAAGTTAGGTTAGATTAGGAAGGTAAAGTTTAGGTTATAATGAATCGAGTTGTTGTTTTATATTATCTCCAGACTGTTTTTGCACATGGCTACCAAAACTAAACTTAAACTAAAACTTTTCTGTAGAAAAGGGGGGGTCGTAGGGGGGCGGTGATGGTTCCACCGAATTCCTCGCCCCAATAATAGGGGGTATACATGTGCTTGTACTGCCTTACCGACAAAATAGGAGAAATACCCGGGAAAAGGGCGAAATCCCTGTCAAAGGATCCCACTCTCTAGAGCCATTAACTTACACCTACCGTCAAAGGTTCATACAGAGGTAACAACTTTATACCTAATACTTTATAATACTTCGCTGGACCTTTTCTCTCAGTTCATATACGCTCTGTTCACCCTTGTCTCTAGGAATGATATTTTACCCTGCAAGCTCCAGCTAACTTAATAGTTTTCCTTGCTTGAATTATCAGGTAAAAACTGAAATTAACATGGATGAAGATTCTTGGCACTTGTTGCAGGTTTTGGAGATCACATTCCATGGCACAACTTGGACGATGCCTTGAATGAAGCTAAGAACAATAATCTACCAATTATGTTGATTATTCACAAAACCTGGTGTGGTGCTTGCAAATGTGAGTAACTTTGATAGGCTATTGCAATTGTATGTTTTTCCAGAGGTATTAATTCATTCCATAAGGTGCAAAGGCACTATAAGTAATCAATGGTAATATGATATTTTAACTTGATCCACAAGATATTATCTGTTTAGTAAGCATGTTTTCCATTCCTTTGTACAAATTAAGAATAGCTTGAGCCACTTTTCTATCAATTTGTACATTTTCTTGGTTTGTGGCTTGTGGGTTCCAAAAACACAAGTCTCAAATTTAAAGTTAGCCTATTTGAGAACAACAGCTCCATATAAAATATGATGAGGTAATGTAGGTAAGTTACATACAAGATTCTGAAGCATATTTTGACTTCAGGTAAAATTGAATTGTTTTGCTTCTTTTGCTTCAGCTTTGAAACCAAAATTTGCTGAATCTAAAGAAATTGAAGAACTCAGCAAACATTTTATAATGGTTAATGTGGAAGATAATGAAGAACCTAAAGGAAAATCTTATTCTCCTGACGGTGGATATATTCCTAGGATTTTATTTTTAAGTAAGTTTTATTTTGATGTTGTAAAAGCTTGTTTGATTTTGGGATACAAAAATTGCAGTATCGTAGGTACCAATGATTCAGCACATTCACCAGTTTTGCTAATTGTAAACCTAGATCATCAAACCAGTGGTATAGTTGTAAATTTGCCAGTGTGAAAACGCTCACCATTATCAAAAAAATAACAGATAAGATTCTAGAAAAAATAGAATGTGAATGCCGTTTCCACATGTTTCCGCTTTACTACATCACTGATCAAAACAAACAGATTCTCCCGCTCAATTACTTGGTACCTTCCTATGGTTTTGCTATCACCAGTTTCATTTTGATTTTGGATGTTTCATCGTCAATAATAAATAATTTCTTATTACCCCCAGAAAAACTTATTAGGACCCTCTAAACTGGCCGACATTTGGTTTGTGAGGCAGAAATCTATCTTTTAATTGCAGCTCACCCTGAAGATAAATTTCAGCAACACATTGACCAGTATAATGACTTAGTAATCTCTTAAAAACCTTCAACAATGGACCTTTGATTAACACTTAAGTTTAAACTATTGCTTTATTTCAGATTCCGAAGGAGAAGTTCAGACAGAGTTTTACAATGAAAATGGAAACCCTCAGTACAAGTACTTCTATCCTGATGCAGAGAGTATTGTTAAAATGATGAAGAAAGTTTCTGACGAGATTTCAACCAAACCTCGACCTATAGCTGATGAACTTTGATCCCTTAGAAATGAGGGTTGTAAACAATTTTCCTGATATGTACAGTTTTGCTAAAAGTTAAGGCCTATTAAAAGTTTTTAGATAATTGATAATTTTGTTCATCCTCCTGAATTTGAAAAATATGTCAAATTAGCAGTAGACAAATTTTAAATTTATTACAAACTAGTTGTTTCCAGTTAATTAGGCTTAGAATACTGACTGACAGAGCAGTTAAAATGTTCATCTTACTTTTAAAATGTTAAATAAGAAACTCTTCCCATACTAAGTTTCTTGTAAACACTCTAACGTCTTTAGCCAGATGACCTTGGTTTAGTTGTTCTTTAACCATTATATTTAGATGTAGATTAGCTCCACAAGCAACATGATACAATCCACAATCTACAGCATGTACAGTGGCTACATAGAGTGGCGGATGCATTCTAATGATTGCAGGCTCCTACCTGTTATGTGTAAAGTTAACCGATTGCTATTATCAATATTGTAGCACATGGTTGCATTGTAATCATTGTATATAACTAGATTTTAATTTGATAACGTGGAATGGAAGTTGCAGATTGAAAATTGATAACTTAGTATAAAACTAAACTAATCCATAAAAATAGTTATTTGTGCAACTAGTGAGCAAAGGGAGCAATTGACTCACTCGAGAGAAATACTTACTCACGAGCCGTTGGCGAGTGAGGAATAGTTTCTCTAGTGAGGCAGTTGCACTTTGCACTTGAGTTGCACATTATATTTTTCCTACAGTTACCATAAAACAAATAAATTGGTAAAGAAACGTGACATATTTTTACACAGAAGTGAACTTTTAATATTACATTTACTGAAACAACAGTACAACAGCTGACCAGCTGATTTACAGCCAGTGCTGCCAACGTATTTCGCGCGCATACGACCTTGTCTGCATGTTACGCGCTTACTATTTCGTGCTTTCACGTTGCAAATCTGGAGTGAGTGAGACAATGTTAACATTGTCTCACTGATGAGCGAATTGGCCACTTTGCTTTCTCAAATCAGTGAGAGAACATGTACATTGTTAGGTGACTGTAGGAAAACATTTAATTTCACTGCAAGGAAAAGATAAGAGATAAAGATGTTTTTGACGAGTGTGATTCAAGATAGCTATCGATAACTACACATGTATCACTGTCAGTGATTTAACCATTTCAAGTGGTTACTGTTTTGTATGTTTTAATGAAATCTAACACAGAATATTAAGAGGATTTTAAGAGTATTTTTCTGTAATAGAGTTGAGGGTAAAAACTAAACAGCTTGAATCTTAGATCAAAAATATTATCGTCATCTTAATAGTTATCTTAAAGGTCACATTTAACCTGTATCATGATTTAATTACCACAATAGCAGCCCATTTTTGCAAATTCCACTGTAAAGTAACCGGATGAGGAGAAAGGAGCATTGAAAATAAAAAAGGTTGGAATTACTTTAGACCGAAGCCTACAAGCTAGTCTTGAAAAAACTACAACATAATTGTGGGCACTACCACTCAAACACGCCACACTAATCAAACAAATTAGTACGAGGGGTTGCTGCCGTTGCTGGGAGTTCGCGATCGAGGACATGGGGGGGGGACTTTCTCTCAATTAAGGGCACAAGTCGGCTGCAGGTTCAGACCCGCCTCCATGGGAACTCACAGGAATATGACTATGGCTTGAATGTGCATGTAACCTCCGAGCACAAACATGTTACAATCAATACCTATGGGATAGCTGACAGCCAGCACTAACTGGTGTACCGGTACAGGACAGGTGCAGAAAATGCGTCGTTCTGGAAGACCTGTGAGTTCACCTAGCAGACGGCTATTTCCTCTTTTTTCCTCCACTGGTGCAAGAGTCACTAACAGGTTAAGACAAGGGGGTGGGGGTTGTATTGTAGCATAGATTAAACATTGTAGTTTCTTTGAAATGAAATGATTTTTCCTTTTCTTACTGATATTAGGCCTACTCATTGTGGCTTGACTTTAATACTGCTTTGGTTTATTGAATGATAGTATTATGTAGTTTAATTAACACCCCTTATCTTTTTAACGCCCCTTCTACAAACGTTCTTTTGTAATGAGTGTAGTGTTCTTTATTGAGTAATATTTTTGCCTGATCCCAGTAGAATTTATGATTATTGTAGCGAGCATGTTTTGCAAGTTTAGAATTTACTATTTCCCCATTATTGGTAATTTAGTGTTTATTTTATATTCACTGATGTGTATTTTATTTTCAAAGGTCTTTTTGTTTTCCCAATGTATTCTCACTCACATGGAGTTAAGTCCATTTAAAGTTAAAATTAAAACATTATATAAATGTCATTGAATTCACTTGTTGCTTGAAAATTAACGTTTGAAATAAATAATATCTAAAAAATATTCCTTATTGCAATTGATAGTTCAAAAGTGTTTGAAGTATTGATAGTTAGTCAGTCTTAATTGAATACCCGTACCTCAGCAAATTGAATTCAATACCTACATCTTTATTTGTACTTGCTCAACATATGGCTCAATGAATAACATCAACATTCCATCATTCCATGAACAGCTGTTTGTTTATAGTAGTACAGCTGCAACCAAGATGTGTCACTTTGGGAGCCAACTTGTACCATAGAATTATTAAGGGATTTCCACTGGGCGACAGTGGAGCCGGAATTACCAGGGGGTTCTCCGGCCCCCTGAAATTTTTTTGCATAAGTTTAAGTAAAAATCACACATTTCTACGTATCCTTTAATGAATTTTTGAATTTTTCAAATATATTTGCTTGTAAATAGTCCATGTAATCTCCCTTAATTGTAACCTCTTGGGCCAAAATCATATCTCAATACTCAAAAATATTTACATAATGTTGAAATATGATGAAATATACTATTTTAATTGAAAAGATTTGAATCAAAATTTAAACGATTAAAGGGCAGTTTTTTAACCTTTTTTACTGATGAAAATAGATATTTATAACAATTGAAGGGCTATCATTGATAAAATTAAATTATTGAACTTGTAATAAATAAAATACTTAAGCTTAGTCATTAACATTAAATGATTATGAAGAAGTCACTTTCAATTATTAAAATGAATTCATCTGTTGTGTCATATGTTATTTCACCAAAAACAAGCAAAAGTTGACAACAACCAACTTGGGATCTGTAATCATTGAATAACAAAGATAATAAATATAAAAATATATTTACATAAAGTTAGTATCTTACACATACAAATTTATCTACGATATCTATAACGCTTGAAGTGGAACCACAATTGAAAAATGTTGTTGTGAAATTGACATCTGAATCCTCTTTTGTAAGAGTATTCCCACTCTCTGTTCACAATCTTGAATGCAATGTCTTCGTAAGGTGGCCCAGCGTGGAATCGTAAAATGGCAAAGTCGTGGTTCTCTGGACATGGGGTCTGAAACCAATGTTATAAGTTTAGAAACTGAAAAAAAAATCTAGTTAACCCTCCGAGTGTTATTTGTCGCTGCATCGACACATAACACACTTTGTGTAGTGTTTTGTGTCGACGCATCGACTCACAAACACTGTTTACGGCGAAGGCTCTATGACTGACAAAATCGGATTGAACTGGATCGAGTTAGGTATCGTTTTATTTGACAGATTCAGAGCTTTCTCCGAAGGTCTGTCTCTAAGCGCTTTTCATTTTAGTTCCGAAAATATTGTAGCAGACAGCTGACGTGCGTATTTGTAAACAGCTTGGTTAACCTCGGACCGATGACTGATGTGTTTTATTACGTTTATCATTGTTTTAGTGTTAAAAATCAAAAGTAGTGATATACGATATACGTGGTGCATTATAAGAAGATTTAAGTGATTTTGAAGGGCTGGTTGATGATCCTGAAGAAGTAGGTAGTGATATTGATGTAAATTATCAGCCAGATTCCTATCTATGGTTAGGCTATGCATTCTTAGCTAAACGCTATGTACTGAAATCTGTTTTTTGCCCATAACTTATTTATTTGCAAATCTACTTCCTTATATTATTTTATATTTGTAATCATCATAAAATTTAGAACAAAGAGGCTATTTTCAAATATTTATAGGCCTATAATTTATACAACTTCATTGAGTGTGAACTTATTTTTTTAGAAAATTTTCAAAAATATTTTTTTTTACCTAAAATTTTTTTTTGAAACAAATGTTCCTTATGTTTTATGTATAATATTGAAGCCCATGATTTTCCAAACAAAATGGTATATAGAACAGTATAATTAACATTGTTTTCAAGCTTCTCAGATCCGTTTTAATAAAACCTTGCAAATGAGCAAAAAATAGGCAGACATTAAGGCCAAAACAAGGGACACTCGCAGGGTTAAGCTAATAATATTACAGTAGAGTCCGAAATGGTTGGGACTGGACCCATTTTGGATTACCGAATATTTCGGATTAAAAGTCTTTTTTGGTTTTTAATTTTTTTATTATTTTAAAATTAAAATTTATTTGTCCTAGGACCCTAGGCACAAGCACGGGATTGTTTTTCACAGTACTTTAGGCTATACCTAGGGGTTGCAGCATTATCACTTAAATAAAATCCATTGGTGATTTGGCGGGATTGGAACCCTTTGGGGACCCTTGAGGGGACAATAATGAAAAATGTTTACTAAAAAAATTGTGAAGTATTTAGTAAAATACTCTAATACAACAAGTTTATCTCGCCCGGCCACTACAGAATACTTCGACGAGGTACAGCTAACTGTCGTTATACACAGTTTCGGCTTTTCCCAATGGGTGACAGCACGTACTGGGTCATCACTTTTTGTGTCTACAATAAACTGCATTATGTCGTCACGCTAGTAGTTTCAACTTCCCCCGATAAGTGACAGCATGTACTGGTTTAAAAAAAAATTTAATAAAAAATATTTAAAAATTTAAATTTAAATTTTTTTTTAAATTTTAAAGTTAATTATAAAATTTTTTTTGGGATTAAGCGGACTTTTGGATTACCGAAGTTTGGATCATCAGGACTACACTGTACTATAATAAATAGGCAGGACATAGTACACACAGAAAACACAAAATGAAGACCCATGGGAACTATTGTGAAATATTGTCTTTTTGGGTAAGTCCACCAGGGGA